CCGTTCAGATCAGATGATCAAGTGATACCTATGGCAAAATTCGAAACTCACTGAAATCTCTGACACTAGCGGCTAACAATCCCGTCACACGTTGTTCCACATTGGCATGTTTACGCAACTCGGCTTTAGCAGTCACGGTGTCTCGACTGGCACGAGATTCCAATAGGACCACAGCCTCTGTTTCTTGTAGCCAGGCGCACAGTTCACCAAAATCGGTCAGATGTTTTAAGCATCGATAACCGACATCCAAAAGGAAAGTACGCTGCTCCAGACGTTCACGCAGTTCCACACGATCTCGTTCGATGTCCGTACAAATTTGGGCCAGGTCTTGTAGAACTTTGGTAGGCAGACGAAAACGCACGTGATCCGCATAGACAAGGACTTCATCTGTGCCTCTTGTCTTGTCGGTTAACGTGGAAGATTGCGATTGTTTCGAGCGCCATTGAGTCAAGATGTTATCAGCTTCCTGAAATAAGGAAATAACTTATGGATGACTTTTACAAATGTATATTTTTATGTTATATTTCTAATGCGTAAGCAATTTCAATAAAAGTTGATCGTCCAGTGTAATTTGATGGGCATAAAAGAAGCAATCATCTGGAACAGTTGAAGTAAATCGTAATCGTCTCGCACACATCGAACAGAGGGAAGGAGCAGAAGGACATACGAAGGTCAGTAAACTTGATTTGGTACTTCATCAAAAAACATCATTCAACTTGACTGAATCAGGGGTTGTTAGGGCACGGGGTGACGGCAGTTACCAACCTTCGCATTGAGTCTTAATGTACAGTCAGCGTGCTTGTGTCCGATCCGTGGCCACCAAAGAAAGTTTGGGCAACGAGGTAAGCCCTGTCAACAAGTGCGGAGGTTGTCGCCTGTCCCCAGAACCAGCCGTTGATGCGTTCCAAAACGCTTGGTGCTAGGGATGTGTTTTCCATGGCTTCGGTCCATTAAATTGCGCTCACCTACTCACTCACTCACTCACTCAATCAATCACTCATAACAAACGACCTCACCCCTCCCCAGCATAAACACACAAACAACAAACATACCAGTTTTCACAGCTTTGTCATTTGGCTAGTCATGTACTTGGCAAGTAAAAGATGATTTCCAAACTTTGTAGAAACAACGAACTTGTTCGGGTTGATCGTAACCACGGAAAGACACCAGAATGTAAAAAAACGATGACAGTAATATTGAACCGCGCAATTCATGATTCCTGTTGACACAAAACAGATTCGAATACACGCATAAACACGGCTTGTGTTATTTTATATCGTGTACGCACTCTGAAATTACACAGATAGCAATGAGCTTTGCAAAGTTGGTTCAGTCAAAATTGTGACTGATGACGCTCAAGTGATGCCACTCGTCAGACATTCATATCCGGTAGTCTTCTGTCTTTTCATTGATTTACCCCTACTCAGGAAGGGTACTTTTGTCGCAATAATCGTCTTTGCAACAACGGGATTCGTTGGCGGAATAGCTCTTTCAGAACCAGTCCATCCAAGAATCAATATTGTGATTCAATGTTTTGTATGTAGCAAATGTGTCTTAGGCATTTTTATGGAATATTTCACAATAAGTAACATATGGATGATTGAACAAAATTTCCTTGGAATCATACAACCAGTTTTGCGGTTGTTGACCCTCGTCAGACATGCATATCCGGTAATCTTTTGTCACTTCATTCGTTTACTTGTAACCAGGAAGTGTATTTTCGTCACAATAACCTTTTTCAACACCGGGTGCATATATGCATATATGTAATAAGCTACGCACATTTAAGGCCAGACTGTGTGCCAAATAAATCCCTGTAAAACAATCTTTATAAAAAGAAAAACGTTCCATGATTTGTATGTGGGCGCGATGCTAACAGGTTACCCGGGCCAAGGCACGTGGATTTCCTAGGGGAATTCACAACCGGAGCCGTCGGCTAGCCAAAGCCTTACCCGCGAGGCAGTGGGGCGGTGTGTGAAAACCGCATTCCATCAGGGACCGGTGTCCAGTTCAACGAATCATACGTGCTTTGGATGGGGTCAAACTTCCAAGGTGTTCAGTACACCTTGGTGCCCAATCGAGCCGGTGACCACTATCAAAACCAGGTATGTGTGGTTGGGTGTAATTCCTACACTTCTTCTTGGTTGGTTTGGAATCAGATATTTTAGCCAAGTCTCCTCGGTGAACTGCTAATAGTTCAACAAACTGGTTGTAGCCCGAGATGTTGGGTTTTTGTCCTCTCACTTTAGTGGGAAAACACCTCCGCAGCACGGGAAGGTAATGAAGAGGGTTGCAGAACCGAAAGCTTGGCCAAATAACTATTGGATGGAATAAGTGGATACACATTTTGCCGGATAGTGATCCAGGTCGGAAAATAGATGAAGATACCAGTGCAACTGTAGTGGTGATCAGTGCTGCGGTCCCGGGTTCGCGATCCCCAGTTTGGGGTGGGGGTGTGGGATGCATTCGTGCACTTTGCAGATGAG